CACCTGGGCGGTTGTGTTGGACCTCCTCTCACGATTTTAGCGTGCTTTGAGTGTCCCGTTCCTCACACGATTTCAGGATGTTTAGAATTCATCTCAGGTTGTGTTGTGTATGCCCCTGGGCGGTTGTGTTAGACCTCCTTTCACGATTTCAGCGTGTTTGGAATTCATCTCAGATTGTGTTGTGTACGCACCTGGGCGGTTGTGTTGCAACTCCTCTCACGATTTCTGCGTGGTTTGAGTGTACCCTTCCTCACACGATTTCAGCGTGTTTGGAATTTATCTCAGGACGCCTGATGTGTGGGTCTGGGGGAGTTTCATCTCAGGTTGCGTTGTTTACACACTTGGGCGGTTGTTTTCAGACCACCTCTTATGATTTCTGCGTGGTTTTTGTGTCCCTTTCTTTACACGATTTTTGCGTGTTTGAAATTCATCTGAGGTTGTGTTGTGTACGCACCTGGGCGGTTGTATTGGACCTCCTCTCACGATTTCAGCGTGGTTTGAGTGTCCCGTTCCCCACACGATTTTAGCGTGTTTGGAATTCGTCTCAGGTTGTGTTGCGAACGCACCTGGGCAGTTGTGTTGGACTACATCTCACGATTCCAGCATGGTTTGAGTGTCCCATTCCTCACACGATTTCAGCATGTTTGGAATTTCGCTCAGGTTGTGTTGTGTACGCACCTGGGTGGTTGTGTTGGTCCTCCTCTCACGATTTCAGCGTGGTTTGAGTGTCCCGTTCCTCAAATGATTTCAACGTATTTAGAATTCATCTCAGCTTGTGTTGCGTACGCACCTGGGCAGTTGTGCTGGACCTCCTCTCAGGATTTTTGCGTGGTTTGAGTGTCCCGTTCCTGACACGATTTCAGCGTGTTTGGAATTCATCTCCGGTTGTGTTGTGTACGCATCTGGGCGATTGTGTTGGACCTCCTATCACGATTTTACCGTGGTTTGAGTGTCCCGTTCCTCACACGATTTCAGCGTGTATGGAATTCATCTCAGGTGGTGTTGTGCACGGACTTGGGCGGTTGTGTTGGACCTCCTCTCACGATTTCAGCGTGGATTGATTGTCCCGTTCCTCACACGATTTCAGTCTGTTTGGAAATTATGTCAGGACGCCTGATATGCGGGCTTGGGTGGGTTTTATCTCAGGTTGCATTGTTTTAGAATTCATCTCAGGTTGTGTTGTGTATACACCTGGGCGGTTGTGTTGGACCTCCCCTCACGATTTCAGCGTGTTTGGAATTCATCTGAGATTGTGTTGTGTACGCACCTGGGCGGTTGTGTTGGACCTCCTCTCACGATTTCGGCGTGGTTTGAGTGTCCCGTCCCTCACACGGTTTCAGCGTGTTTGGAATTCATCTCAGGTCGTGTTACGAACGCACCTGGGCGGTTGTGTCGGACCTCCTCTCACGATTTTACCGTGCTTTGAGTGTCCCGTTCCTCACACGATTTCAGGATATTTAGAATTCATCTCAGGTTGTGTTGTGTATACACCTGGGCGGTTGTGTTGGACCTCCCCTCACGATTTCAGCGTGTTTGGAATTCATCTGAGATTGTGTTGTGTACGCACCTGGGCGGTTGTGTTGCACTCACACGATTTTAGCGTGTTTCGAATTCATCTCAGGTTGTGTTGTGTACGCACCTGGGCGGTTGTGTTGGACCTCCTCCTACTATTTCGGCGTAGTTTGAGTGTCCCGTTCCTCACACGATTTCAGCGTGTTTGGAATTTTATATCATGACGCCTAATGTGCGGGCCTAGGTGGGTTTTATCTCAGGTTGCGTTGTGTACACACCTGGGCGACTGTTTTCGGACCTCCTCTCAGGATTTCAGCGTGGTTTGAGTGTCCCTTTCATCAAACGATTTCATCGTGTTTTGAATTTATCTAAGGTTGTGTTGTGTACGCACCTAGGCGGTTTGTTTTCGGACCTCCTCTCACGATTTCAGCATGGTTTGAGTGTCCCGTTCTTCACATAATTTCACCGTGTTTGGAATTTATCTCAGGACGTCTGATGTGAGGGCCAGGGCGGGTTTTATCTCAGGTTGCGTTGTGTACACACCTGGGCGGCTGCTTTCGGAACCCCTCTCACGATTTCTGCGTGGTTTGAGTGTCCCTTTCTTCACACGATTTGAGCGTGTTTGGAATTCATCTCAGGTGGTGTTGTGTACGCACTTGGGTGGTTGTGTTGGACCTCCTCACACGGTTTCATCATGTTTGGAATTCATCTCAGGTTGTGTTGTGTACGCACTTGGGCGGTTGTATTGGACCTCCTCTCACGATTCTAGCGAGGGTTGAGTGTCCCGTTCCTCACACGATTTCCGCGTGTTTGGAATTCATCTCAGGTTGTGTTGTGTACGCACCTGGGCGGTTGTGTTGGACCTCCTCTCACGATTTCAGTGTGGATTTAGTGTTCTGTTCCTCACACGATTTTAGTGTGTTTGGAATTTATGTCTAGACGCCTGATATGCGGGCCTGGACGGGTTTTATCTCAGGTTGCATTGTGTACACACCTGGGCGGTTGTTTTCGGACCTTCTCTCGCGATTTAAGCAGGGTTTGAGTATCCCTTTCCTCACACGATTTTAGTGTGTTTGGAATTCTTCTCAGGTTGTGTTGTGAACGCACCTGGGCGGTTATGTTGGACTTCCTCTCACGATTTCAGCGTGGTTTGAGTGTCCCGTTCCTCACACGATTTCAGCGTGTTTTCAATTCATCTCTGGTTGTGTTGTGTACGCACATGGGCGGTTGTGTTGAACTTCCAGATGAATTCCTTAGTTGAAAATCACACTTATGATTTAGTGAAGTTGCCTAAAGGGAGGAAAATTCTGAAAAATAAGTGGGTCTTCCCACTACAAGAAATTGCACTTTTGGCAACTATTTTTGGCGACGACGTCAATTATTCATCGCCAAAAGTATATTTTTGGCGACACAGTGATCAATTTCGTTAGTAAAAGTATACTTTTACCAACGTAATTTGCTACCGTCGCTAAAAAAGCATAACATTCTTTTAGCGCCAAAATTTTTGGTTGGCGCCAGAATTTTAGAACTTTTAGCTACGACGCTTATGTTTTAGCAACACAATGAGCGTTGCTATTAGTGTGTATACTTTTGGCGACGACAAGCTGGCGTGGGCAAAGAGTTAACCATTTAGCGACGATAACACTATTCGTCGGTAAAAGTTTTGCTAGTGGAATGATGTGATATAGTGATTTGTATTTTTTATTACAATTTTTCAAAGAGTTTTAAATATTCTAGTCACTGAATTGTAAAATTAAAATGATCATTGAATTAGATCACAAAATGAACCCATTAACCCCAAACACACTCTTAAGTTGAGATGACTAATTTGAGATAATTTAAACTTTTTCAAAGAATATGATTAGATTATCAATTTCAATATGTTTGGTTTTATTTTCAGAAACTAGTTTCAATTTTTTTCCTCTAAAAAACTAAAAAAAATTGGGTGAAATTTGACTGGTCACCGGAGTTGACTGGTTTGATACATAACAGTACGGTGTTCAAATGGGATGTCGTTGCTAACCGAGACAGATCTAGGATTCGAGTTTTGGGGACAAAAACACATGTAATTTTTCATCGAAAAAAAATTATCATAAAATATTAAATTTTGATTTATACTAGCACAAAGCATGAATGATAGTACTATTATTAATCGGACATTCTTTGTCTACATAATTGAGAACAAAATTATAATTAGATTTTTTTTTGTTTTTGTTTTTGTTTTTGTTTTGTTTGTATTAACTTAACAAAAATACTAATTATTATTACATCTTTGTCCGCTGAAGTTAACTATGGACTATTTTGGAAACTTGGCTAAAAGTCACTTTTTTTGGTTAGTAGCAAAAGTCAAAAGTTGGTTTTTTTGGCCTTTTTTTCATTTGGCAAGTTGGTTTTTAGCCAACGGTGAAATTACAATTTTACCCCTCATGGGTCACAATGTGTTACATAAGTTTAGTTGTAAATATTTTAAATAAATGGGGGTAGTTTAGTCATTTTATTATGATTTGACATCATAAACAAATATTAATAAAAAAAGCCAAAAAGTCACTTTTTACTAACTTCCCAAATCATTTGTCTAAAAAAGCCAAAAGCTTGGTTAAAAGCCAAAAAGTCACTTTTAACCATCTTCCCAAAACAACCCATTATTATTGTGATCTGATTATCGGGCGATGGCAAAATCCTTCTTAAAATTCCCTCTTTTTTTTTTTTTTGCCCTCATCAAATCTCCCCCATCAATCTCCACGATTTCACCCATTCAAAAAAAAAAAAAATCTCCATAATTTCGCTCTCGCACACCCTTCACTACAAGAAAAATGAGTTTTAGCAACGTAATATTTAACGACGTTTGTTAAACGTCGCTTTTTTTAAAATCAAAACGGCACCGTTTCAACAACCAGAGGCGTTTGTGAACGCCTTTGAATGTCCTATCTCTATCTCTCTTAAATGGGAGAGTGGTGAATATCAAATTTAATACATACACTACAACAAAATTGGGTTTTTACGGCTTCACATCAACGACTTACAATAAATGCAAGCCGTGATTTCTCATTTTTACGACTTGTTTTTTTTGCATGACGTAAATAATTTTTCAACTACGGCGCGTCTATTGCGTAGGTCGTGAATGCTAATAACAATGATTTTTTTACAACTTCCAATATTAGTCATAAATAATATAACTTTCTATGGCGTGCATATGGCATACCGTAAATACATTAACTATACACGACATGCGTAAAGCTGCTGTTAAAAATATTGAACATTTCACAGTGCATAAAAAATCAACCGTTAAAAATTGTACTTTCCACGACGCACAAAAATAGTCGTTTAAAATATTATGCTTTCCACGACGTGCAATTACTGTCATGAAAGGGATGATCGGAAAAAAAAATAGCGTCAAAACAAAAATTTTGAGCGCCAAAAAAAAAAAAATTAAAAAGAAAGATAGAAACAATCAAAAGCCCCAATTTTTTCAACCCCAACACCAATCTTAAAAACAATAAACTCAAAGCATTTTCTGTGCAGTGAGGAGGGCGACGAAGAAGAAGAAGAGGAAGAGACACTGATGAATCCTCCGTCTCCATCACCATACCTCACCTTTCTTCCTTCACCCGCTAACCCTACCTTCTTCTATTCTCTTCTCCACCACCACCAACTCAATCACTTCACCAACACCACCACCTCTGCCTCTGCCACAGCCTCCTGATCTCCCTACCGCTCTCTCAACACTCAAACACCTCATCCACCTCTCCAAAACCACCCTCCACTCTATCTCCACTCTCCTCCCCACCACCGCCACCACTATCGCCCTCTGCTCCTGCCCTTTCAATTTCCACCACCGCCTTCCGCCGGAATCCCTTTTCCGCCACTCCCTCCAATGCCCTTCTTCCCCTTCCCCTCTTTTCAACCTTAACCCCCTCCTGCTCCAATCACTGTGCTACCCCAACACTCTCAAACCCTCTCGACAACTCTTCAATCAGAACTGCTTCCTTCAAACCCTACACGATACCAACTCCAACCTCTGCTTCTCCCTTGACGATTACTACGACTTCAGCCCCAATTTCTTCTACCGTAATTGCCCCGGCGTAGTTAGGTCTACCGATCGAGATAGTTTGAGCCGAACCTTCACTCTCCCAGGTATTCTATCGATTCAGTGTGCAAATTTTGTAGGCAGTGATAATGGTGAAATTAAGGGTTTTTCTAGGGATTGTTTTAGGCTTCTTTCTTTGGAGTTGTGGCTTGTTAGGAGTGAAATTGAGTCATTGAGGGATTACCCTATTGCCTATTCGTATAGAGTTCTTTGGATCATTTTGTGTTCTGTTATGGCTGAAGATTGTGATTTCCTTAGATGGGTAATTGTGAATTTGCCTTGTTATGATGTTGTGATTGATGTGCCTATGAGGGATCATATAGTTTTACTTTTTTAGCTTTGTTTGAAAGCAGTTGTGAGGGAAGCTACTGGTTCGGTGGATTCAGTATTAAACCGAGATGTGAGGGAGTTGAATCCAGCTGCTATGAGTTTATATCATGGATGGCTATTTTTTCATGATACAAACTCTGTGTCTAATGATTTGCACGTACAACATTATAATTTCAGTTTATTTTCAATTGCGGGAAGTGGTGTGTGTTTTTGTTTTTAAATTATAGATGTGAGAACTTTCTGGTTTTCAAAATATTTCAAGTTCTCTTACTTACTAAGAATTTAGAATTAGAAACAGCATCATAAGCAATTGCTTGACCTGCTACTTTGTTTCCTCAGTGCACATCAAAGAAAGGTGGAAGTGAGACAATGGACCTGATTGATTGCAGAATAAAAGTTTGGTAGCCAGTGGACAAGTGGTAAGTATTTTGTTGGTTTAGAGAACAAGATTAAGGCCTCGTTTGGGAACATGCTAATTTAGTAATTTTTTGGCTATTTGGCTAAAATATGAGCTAAAAAAACTAGTGTGTTTGGGATGACTTTTTGGCTTTTTTACGAAAAGATGTGCAAAAAGTAGAGAGAAAAGAGAATATTTGACTTTTTGGTATGGGTTGTTGGCTTTTTGGCTAATTTAGAAACTTTTTGGCTTTTTGGCTAAAAGAGAGGGTTCCAAACAGGGCCTAAGCCATTTTTTAACAAAATAGTTGAGAAAGATAAAGTTGGAGCATGAGATGTGTAGGTCTATGAAATTGGAAATCTGAGAAAGATAAAGTTGGAGCATGAGATGTGTAGGTCTATGAAATTGGGAATCTCTATTATATTTAAATTTCTAATTTATTATGTATCCATCTTCTGTTTAAAATTAAGCTCTGGATAATTTCCTTTCCAGGTAAAAGTAGTTAGATTGAGATGAGTCATATCCTTTCAGTCATAGGTTCAACACTTGAAAAAATATTTTCAATAACACCAGTGTCTACAGGGTTGGCCATGGCTTAGTTTTGTTCTTCACTTGGATTGTGAAAATGAATTTTATTTTCTTGTACCCATGAACACAGTGACCCCTTACCAAATTCTTCTTTAGTTCAGTTTCATGAAAGTTTCCCATTCTACTCCTTTGTTTAGGGCCATGGGTGGTCTGCTACTACTAGGAGTCTGCGACTTTTGATCAGTTTGTCACTCTGTTTTCTATGCCATCCATATTGGATTCTTTGGCATACATTAAAACTTTTCTTAATCCTTTGATTGAGTCATCTCAAATAGTTGACCTTGTTTATGACTTAATCAATAGCTACTCATAAGTTCTGTTCCATTCCTAATTGTGTCTTTCCTGCAAGGAAGCAAGGACACTTCCCTATATGTGACATATACACATTTTTGGACACGGATAGTTGTGAAACACTGGAGACATGCCCCAACTTCTGTTAACTTAGTTTTACCTGACATGTTGCTGACTTGGTGATATGTGACATATACACATTTTTGGACACGGATAGGTGTCAAACACTGGAGACATGCCCCAACATCTGTTAATTTAGTTTAACTTGACATGTTGCTGACTTGGTGAGGACATCCCTGTATGAGAATCAGACTCACACAGACCAAAAATGGCAGGGGCCAAACTCTAATTTTGGAATCCATTTAATGAACGGTCAAAGTGGTAAAAATAAAAATAAAAAGCTTGATACATTCAGAATGGAAAGAAAATTTGACTCTACACTCGCACATCCCAATATTAGTGATGGGCCAAGATGACTTGTACCCAGTTGTCAGTCGCACTGGCACATCCCAACGTGGGTGACTGGTGAAGATGACTTCTGCCCAGCGGTGTGTACCCCAGGGCCAATGACCTCTGGCTAGTGGAGAAGGGCTTCTGGCATATTCTCTTTGGCCCTTGCTTGCATTGACCTCCCAGTCTTGTGGCCTTTGGCTGATGTTGCGTGGGTTGTCATGATGATTAAAAAATTATATATATTGGTCTCATGTTTGCTCTTTAGCTACCATCTTTTGATTGCTTTGACGCTGCCAATTTTCGTCAGCGATGGGCCAAGATGACTTGTACCCAGTTGTCAGTCGCACTTGCACATCCCAACGTGGGTGACTGGTGAAGATGACTTCTGCCCAGCGCTGTGTACCCCAGGGCCAATGACCTCTGGCCAATGGAGAAAGGCTTCTGGCATATTCTCTTTGGCCCTTGCTTGCATTGACCTCCCAGTCTTGTGGCCTTTGGCTGATGTTGCTTGGGTGGTCATGATGATTAAAAAATTATATATATTGATCTCATGTTTGCTCTTTAGCTACCATCTTTTGATTGCTTTGATGCTGCCAATTTTCATCAGCCAAATCAATTTGTGGGCTGTCTGGAGATGGATTACATGTGGATGCAAGCCTCAAACCCATTCATCATCTTTTTTTACTTTATTTATATTTTCTATTTGTCGAACATGACATACAAAGAAAAAATGGGAGAGTCAAATCAAAATTTATATTTATAATTTCCAAATGTAAATATATATATATATATATATATGTATATATTGTCATGGCTCTGCTGGTTTTATGCTTTTTGAAAATTGCCTTGTTAGCGTGTATATATATCTGTGTACAAAAAGTATAATCTTGATCTAGGGAATGCCAATCCTTGATTACCTTAGTAGTGTGTACTTTTTGTACACGTGGTTTGCACTCCAAAATCCTTGTGTGTATACGCTGCTGCAAGAATTGTGTCTTGATGGTGTCTTGTTAAAATCAACAGGTTTTATGGAGTAGTGAAGTCTTATGACTCTGAACATAAGAAATATGTGGCAAGTGCACCGTTCCATGTTCTATTTTTTTATTCTAATACTTGTGTTAGTCATGTTTTGGAGATACACATTTTATTTATTTATTTATCAATAATGTAATAATTGTAATCTCATATGGTTCTTTGACATAATTTTCTCTGATCAATTTTGTGTTAAAGGTACTATATGATGATGGAGATGTGGAAGTGCTCCGTTTAGATAAAGAGCGTTGGTAGCTTGTTGACAATGGTCACAAGCCTACAAAGGTTAACTTTCTATTATAAATTCTATTGAAGCAATGAATTGGCCTTTAACTCTAACAATGTGTTTTTTTTACACCACCATTCACAGTAGTTAAATTCATTGAAAGGTCTATCTAAAAAAGGATTGTGAGTAATGCCTTCTAATTCATATCTGCAATCTACAAATTGTTTTGTGGGAATTATATGTTTAAACGTGCAGAGGCTTGTGGCAGTATTGGTGCATGGATCTAATTTTATTTTATTTTGCAGATCATCTGAGAAGAACATCTACAAGGTTTCATTTTCATTATGATTTATTCTAAACATTTGGCTTATAATAGTGTTAGTACATTTTGATTATGTAATTCTGTCTAGATATATAACATGTTTCATATACTAACCATTAAAGCTTCATTAATTTGTTTAGGACCATGGAACTGTTAGTTGAGTATTGAAAGGGTAAAGAGTCCATGAAAAGCAACTAAAACATTTTGTTTATAATGTTATAGATAATCAAAATCAACTAAAACATTTCTAACACCAAAATTATAAATTCTGTGTTTACGGAAACTTAAGCAGAAATATCTATAAATTCAGGTTGTGAAGATTTTTATGTGTTTGAGTTGAAGAATTAGTCATCCAATTTTGAGCACAATACTGTTTGACCTGACTGCTTCTTTTGTTTGGTTAGAATACAAGTTTATTTGTAACATTAATTTAATGAGTGATTACCAATAGAATTGTTAATGTCTTTGCATTACAGTTATATCTATACTATTATCTTCTTCTATCTATCTATACTATACTATATGTGAAGGCTTGAGATGGTGTTAACACAACGTAAATTATATAGTGAAGTGGATGGGGCTTGAACATGAACTTTGGTCTGGGAAACAATATCGGCACACAACATATATACTTTTAAATCCAAATTTAAATTTGTATTTTACAAATTTTAACAGCACACCC